AATAATATATGGTTAATAAAAATCTATTTTAAGCTTACAAACAAATAAATTTTAGTTTTTAATATAGTACAAAAAAAGTAATCTAAATTTACGAATGCGTGTACTGTAAATACAGTACATACTTGTATATATTTTAATATGATTTTATGTGCTTTAAACGTTTATCTAGTGATATTACGACTTCAATATTTGTGGCGGACAGACGTAAAGTCGAATAAAATGACTTAAACTTGATTTTTATTTTTCCATATACTTTTTTAACAAGCGACGTATAATCGGGAACGACGTAACTCGAAACGACGTAAGTCGAGGTATGCCATTATAATGAACTTGTTTATTAAGTACGTCAGATAAATAATCTATTAAAAATACATTTAAAGAAAGAATTAACTGATTGCCCCTGGATGTCGGCTTCTTATAGAAACACAGCTTCCCTATCATCAAATGTCACGGCACGCCCCTGCTGTCCAGGTATGTTGGGCCCCGTCTCTCACCATCCGACCTTCCCGTTACACTGTTACAGGCCTGACTGAATCAATGTTGCACGATGTTGGACATGGAAAAAGGCCTTATGCCCACAGGACGAAATCGCCTAAAATGAAAAATAATTAAATCATAAATATTAAAATAATTCGAAGATAAATTGAAATACAGTATTAGAATATATGGGTATTGAATTGATTAAAAAAAGTCTGCCATAGATAGCCTAAACAACTCGAATTATAGTCCAGACTCAATTCCGGCTCAATTCTTTAAAAAGTTAAAGGCAATATCCGCTGTTGTTCTCTCCAAACTCTTCACAAGTTTATTAAACTCTAGTCACATTCCAAATCAGTGGTTAATCTCTAATATAAAGGTTCTCCCCAAAAAAGATAATTCCTTTAGACCAATAACTATACTATCAGCCATGTTAAAAATTTTTGAAATTTGCTTATATAACAAAATCTATACCCAAATTACCTCCAGATTCTCCCCTCATCAACACTGTGGCATCCGTAACCTTTCGACTACTACTAACCTACTTGAAACAACTTATACTATTTTGCAAAATTTTGAGAACAAAAAATCCACCTACATAATTTATATTGACATCTCCCAAGCCTTTGATTCTATCATTCCTAAATTACTACTTCAGACTCTAAGTAATTATTTTGATTTAGATCCCGCTCTTTACTGTTGGTTAAACAATTACTATTTATCCAGACTATGTAAGATTCACATTGGTGACTTTGATTTTTTCCCTTTTTCTCCTATCTGTGGCATACCTCAAGGATCTGTACTAAGCATGCTTTTTTTCTCAGCTTATATAGATAAATTACTAACCAACCACCACTCTAAAGTAATTGCCTACGCCGATGACATCAAAATTTTATCCAATGATCCTTCCTCCCTTCAGATCACTGTCAATTCTTTACGTTCTAATCTTGCCAGTTATAATCTAAAAATCAACATTCATAAAACTGTCATTATGTGTTTTTCTCTACTTCGCAATCCCAACCACCCTTCCATATTTATTGATTCTTCTAAAATAAACTATGTCCAGTCTCATCGTGACCTTGGTATTATATTTGATGAAAAATTAATATTCCATGATCATATCTCTTACATTATTAAATCTCTTGCAATTAGACGTGGCTTTATTTGGCGTTTTTGCAAAAATATCTCTTCAAAGACCGTACTCAGAACAATTTTCTTTACTAATTTTCAATCAATAGTCGATTATTGTTTACCTGTCTGGGCCATGGCTGCCCCTTATCTGATTCAAAAAATACAATCTGAATTAAATAAAGTTTATTTTCTGATACACAAATTCTGCAATTTACCAATTACAAACAACCACGATGTGGCAAGAGTTCGCCTTGGTCTTCCAAATCTTTCTGATCGCTTAAAATATTTTGACCGCATTCTCTGTTTTAAATACTTCAATGGTCTAATCTTCAATTACTGGCTAGGTCTCCGCATCCCTACTGTAAGAACTCGTAATACATCATGCTTCTTCATCCCTTTTTTCCGCCTTTCTCTTTCCCAAAGATCTTTTTTTTACCGTATAGCATCTCACATACAGCCTGTTGAACCTTATCTATATCGTAATTTTAATTTTTTTAAAAATAAATGTAAATCTATTTTATATAATATATAATGTATCTGTTGTCTTACTTAATTTATATATATATTTTTATTATGTCTGTTATATCTTTTATATTTTGTAATCATTTTATTGGGGATCTTTTTTTTTTCTTTGTTATTGGGGGGTGGAATACAATCGTCTCTGACGTTTCCAATTAAAAAAATAATAATAAAATAAAAAAATAAAATATCGTTATATACAGTACATCAAAGACTGCTATTTTTGTTTTGGTATATGGAGGAGGAATATGAAAAATCTGTTAACTGTTATAAGAAAATAGTTTTATAAAAGTTGAAAACTGTAAGCGGAATATCAAATATTAAGCATTAGAAATTCGCAAGTTTTTAAAAAGTTTGGTTTATAAACGTGATATGAAATTTTATTTTATGATAATATTAAGGTTTTATTTAGTGGGTTTTGTCCGAAAAATGGTATCTGGTGGGATCCCTGAGAGGTTTCATTGGGTTGGACAGACAGAAATCCGGCAACGTGCTGTAAAGCATGGAACAATCGATTTCACTAATCAATTACAAGACAACAACAACAACGTGCTTTATGTGCTAAAACACAAAAACAAAAATATATATATATATAATAATGATATTGCAATAAAATCGAGTATTTAAATAATATAAAAAAGTTTAAAATGAAACTTTGATGAAACGATAAATAAAATTGATTTACATATGGAGTTGATAAAAATGGTGCCATAAGTCAAAACTGGTAGAGTGAGGGACGTGACGCCGGCAACTACACAATTGTATTTTCGTATACCTTTTCGTAGTAAGATATAGAAGTTTGTGTCCTGTAAAAAGTAAGAATTTCGGCACATGAATTACGGATATTTTAAGTTATTAATTAATAAACAAGGAAAAAATAATCAATTTCTCACACGTGCTCCGATTTGTAGAACTTTATTTTGCATCCTTCCAAAGAGAATCTTCGAGATGAAATTGTGGTTTATTGATTTGATATCATTTGAACTGTATTGTTATAAAATTCAAGATCGAATACGATTGGAATCTTCATAAACACTAAAAATTGTTTCGATAATCTTTATCTATCTAAACTGTAAATAAACCCATTAAAAATGAAGTTATAAAATAGAAATATATAATATACTACTGTTTATCAATATAGTAGAAATCTTCTTTAAGTGTCTTCTCCTGTCAGGAAGTTAACAACCATTTCACTCCACCATGATCTATCTTGTGCTTCTCTTGAGCACACTTCATCTTCATATGTTAAGTATGTCCAATTCCTGATGTTGAACCAGTTCATTCTTGGCCTACCCCTGCCTCTTTGCCCTTCAATCATTTCCTCCAGTAATGGTTTTTGTAGGCTTTGGTGTTGCACTACATGCCCCAGATAACTCTTTTTTTTCCTTACTACTAGTAAGGTTCTTTTCTGATTTGCAGTTGCCAGGATATCTTCATTTGTTCTTCTTGCCCTCCAAGGAACATCTCAGCATTCTTCGAATCATCCACATTTCAAATGCCTTTAATTTCTTTTCATTATTTGCATTCATAGTCCAACTCTGCTCCGTAAAGCAGGGTCAACCAAACATAACATTTTGCCAACTTAACTCTTGTTTGTATACTAATCTCCCTTGATGTCAACACTTGTTTCATGTTTGTAAATGCAGTCCTTGCAATTACAATCCTTTTTCCAATTGATTATTCCTCTATCAGCATCATTAGATCCCATTCATTTTCTGCTAATAGCACAGTATCATCAGCATACCTAAGATTATTAAAATTTCTGCCCCCTATGTTTACTCCTTTTAGATCTTTGACCTGATTGAAAATTCTTTCTGTATAAAGATTGAACAAAATCGGAGACAACGCACAACCCTGCCTTACTCCTTTTTGTATTGGGAAGCTTTGTGACAATTCTTTGCCAATCCTTATTGCATCTCTCTGTTCCCAGTATAAATTAGTAAGTAATTTGACATCCTTTCCATCCATACCATTTTCTAATAGACATTTAATAAGGAAATCATGTTTCATGTTATCAAATGCCTTTGTATAGTCTAAAAAACATAAATAAATATTTTTTTGTTTTTCCTTATATCTTTCAATAATAGTTTTCAGATTGAAAATACCTTCTCTTGTTCCTCTATTCTCTTGGAAACCACTTTGTGTTTCACTTATGCCTTCAGTCCATCTTCCTTTGTTTCTATTTAACAAGATATAAGTTAGAACCCCTGCCATATGACTAATTAGGCTTATGGTTCTAAAATCCTTATACTTGTTTGCTTTTGATTTTTTGGGGATTGTAACAAATATAGACTGTGTGAAGTCTTCAGGAATGTATCCCAGTTCATAGATTTTCTTGTGTAACTTAGCTAGGGCTTTGATGCCTCCATCATCTAGAACAGTGGTTCCCAACCTTTTTTCATTAGCGTACCCCGTGACATGTCATATCTCTAGATTGTACCCCTCATTTAAGAAATTTAGTGAGTACCCGTATTGTTAATTTTACATATTGTAACTTTAAATTAAAGAAAAAAAAGTAAATGAAAAAATGTATTATAAAGTTGTGATTGTTGCAAGGAACATATTTTACCTAATAATTTTTTAATACTATTAGTTTGTGATACATAATATATTATTTTTTCTGCCATAATAACTAACGTTTTTCTGTACCCCTAAACAACCTATCGCGTACCCCAGGTTGGGAATCGCTGATCTAGAGCTTTGATCCATTCTGGTTCTATATTGTCTGGGCAAGCAGCCTTACTGAGTTTAAGTTTATCGATGATGGCTTTTACAACTTCACATTTGACTATTGGTGGGTCTTCTAACTCCCTGGGAGATTCAATCTCCTCCCTGTTGCCTTGGAATAATACCTTTCCATATTCATACCACTTTTCCATTATTTCTTCTGTCTCCAAGATTATTCTCCCATTTAAATCTCTTACACCTTGTGCTTGAAAATTCTGTTTTTTAAAAGTAACTTCTCTAATTTTTTTCATTGAGTTTTTATTTTATTTTCTTTATCCAAACTTTCAATTTCTTCACATTTTTTTGTTATGCCACTCTTCTTTAGCCTTTCTACACTCTTTTTATAGATCTTGTTAAATTTTTATATCCTGGTTTATTTTTCAAACTTTTCTTATTCTCCATCAAATTTAGAATTTTACCAGTCATCCAAGGTTTGCTCATTTTCCTAATATATTCTGGGATGTTATTAGCAGCAGCAGCTCTACTTATATATTCCTTAAAAGCATTCATGCTTCATTGATATCCTCTATTGATTAATTATGTTCTTTATTTATTCTATTGTTATTGATTTCCCTATTAAATTCATCATTAAATTTTACTTTTATGTTCTCTTCCTTTAACATTGCTGAATTTAACTTCTTTGATACTGACTTTTGCTTACAGGTTTTCAGTTTAATTTTTGCTTTCACTACAACTGGATTATGGTCGGAATTAATATCTGCTCCAGGATACGACTTTATAATGTTATAATATTTCATAATATTTAATTTCCTATATAATATAATATAATTTATTATGAAGTTTACACAGTGTGCCAAATAAGTAATGAAACAACTAGCATTACATCCAAACTAAGAACTTTATTTCAATTTCACAGTTACATGGATTCAAAATAATCCCCTTGCAACTCCACACAATGTTTATATCAATCATACAAGTTGTTGAAAGAACACTGGAAGTCCTGATTGTGTACCTCCTTCAGTCTGTTGATCACAGTATGTTTGATGTCCCCAATGTCACTGAAATGTTCCCCTTTTAAAACATATTTAATTTTCGGAAATAGGAAAAATGTCTACAGGTCCAAATTAGGTGAATAGGGTGGGTGTTAGCGCACACAGATCTGTTTTGATGCTAAAAACTGTTTCATGGTTAGTGCACAGAGAGCCGGTGCATTGTCATGCAGGAAAACCTAACTGTTGCTTTGGAACAGATGCATCCTGACACGACGCATGTGAGTAAAGAGACATTGTATGACTCCAAAGTAGTACTGATGTACACACAATAACGAAACTTCATCAGTACTAAATAGTACTGATGAAGTCGCATTGTTCATCTTCTAAGGATTCTCTTCTGTTCTTAAATGCTGAAAACCAGTGGAACACTTGTGCACGACTAAGACAATCATCCCTGTAAACAAATAGCATGTCTTTGTAAACTTCTGATGCTGTTTTTCCTAATTTACAGTAAAATTTTATCACAGCTCTTTAATCCATGATGCTACATTTGACCGCCGTTACTTGCACAACATTACTTTCATGGCTACTGTGCATGCACTGATTGAGTCATCAACATGATCAAAGCATCTGTGTGTTCAGCACAGTCAAGCCAGTGAAATGGTAACCACATTTGATGCATTTCTTGAAAGTATTCATGGAAAAAAAATCAGTTTCATTACTTATTTGGCGCACTGTGTATTTGATTCCTGCATATGTCACTTGGACTTTTCCATGTATACACTCTTCTTGCTGGATGTTTAAACAGGGTGTTGGTGTTTATCAACTTACTTTCCTTGCAGAATTGAATGAGTCTATCCCCTCTTATTTTTCTTACCAAGCCCATATTGACCCATGCATTCTGATATATTCTCATTGCCCACTTTTGTATTAAAATCACCCATTACTATGATTATATCATTTGATTTTGCCATTTCCACCAGTTCCTTGAAATTTTCATAGAATATTTAACAAATTTTATCAGTCCACAGGCCAAAAAAGGTTGAAAACACTGCTCTAGAGAACAGCTCCTGTTGGAGTTGGAACTTCTGATCTGCATGTCCTGAACCTCAAACCATTTTCTTTTTATTACCTTTAACTAAACTGCCTTTTCTAAATATGCATTTAAGCTTTTTAATATATTTTGCTCTAATATACTGTATTTCAAAAAACTGGGTACTTAATTATATAACACTCACCAAATAAACCATCACCAGTTCATAACTAAACAGAAAAAATTCTTTCTACGAACGTTTTCATCTATATGTAATAGACATCCTCAGGTATTGACGATACGAACTAACGGCTAGTAATCCTCAAGTATTGACAGTAACGGCTAGTAATCCTCAGGTATTGACGATATCAAACTAGCCGTTAGTTTGATATCGTCAATACCTGAGGATGTCTATTACATATAGATGAAAACGTTCGTAGAAAGAATTTTTCTGTTTAGTTATGAACTGGTGATGGTTTATTTGGTGAGTGTTATATAATTTTGCTCTAATTTTGGTTTGTTCATTATACAAAAATAATATTCTTGTTTGTAATCATACATTAAAATATAGTACTGTTTCTTGATCCAATCTTGTTCAAAATTTTTATCTACTTGGAGCTTATTCTCCAAATTCGAAAACTTTCTTTTAAACCAAAAAATATTTACTATTTCTTTGGAAATTAGACTGTTTAAACATTTGAATAGAATGCAATACTCTTACAACCTGTTCTAGCAAGGAAATCTAAAATATGCTCGTAGGAACATCTTATTCAATGCACACTGTTTAAGGAAAGTTAACTGTTACACATCAGCTTGATCCCCAATTTAGTTCTTTTTAATGTAAATAATCTTTGTAAGATTTATTGACTCAGTTATATTTAAATTTATACACAATAAAACTGAGTCTCAAGGAGCCAAGAAATATTTTATATATTAATGTTTTTGGAGTAAATTCAGATCACAAACAAAAATCAACATCAACATCAAACAACTTAAAATACAAAATCCTGTTTGTAAATAGAACAAATAGCTTGTTTCCTAGATACATATTTATTCATTGAAATGAAAAATTAATATCTACGATGGATAAATTCTGTTTTTA